ATCAGCTGTAGGGTTTCAACGGTTGGATCAATCAAAGGTTTGAAAAACTTTGAGAGTTCGAACCCTGCAGCTGACGGATCCATCAACGCTCTGTCGGGTAGTGGACCCATCTATCCACCAAAGGTTCGAAGTTCACACGGTCTGCAGATGGATTGATGGGTCGGTCAACGGTCCGTCGGGTGGATCCATCCACAGTCTGAAGTGCAAACTATGAAATTGGAAAGTGGGGCGTTCCATCAGGTTAAGGCTTAAAAGTTAAAGAGCCATGATGACCGACAAGGTTCGCAGACGGCTGATGGTCCATCATGTGCCCACTGACGTGTGAAGCGTACCACATTGGAGGACATGACTGATGCCGTCGGTGAACTATACCCGATCGAAGGACATTCACAATCCCTCTAACAAGCTGCCTTAATGGGAAAAACAGAAAGAAAGAATTCTTGAAATTCTGGTGAGGACCTTGATCGAGATCGCTAAAAGTCACAGGAGACTACGAGACGGTGACAATCAAATTCTCACCTCGACAACTACAACTTAAAACCTACAATGCACAGATGAGGGGGGGGGGAAAGGGAAGGGGGGGGGGGGGGGGGGAAGGGAAACAGTGTCAGAAAAAAAACAATCCACAGACATGCAGTAAGACTCGGTGTCGTAGGGTCCGTCTAAGTCCATAAGAGGCCAAAGGAAGGGTCTGAGAAATGTCCTCAGTTCCATAGGTGACTGAGAATCAACAGGTTTTCCGAGCCCGCCAGGCATGGATTCGAGTACTACCCCAGGCCTGAGCAGGGTGAGGGCCACGCCTGCTACGACCCAGAGTAAAGAATTCTACATAAATCGCTTATGAGACGACAGAAAGGACACAAATTCAACGCTCCAGACAATGTTTTCGGATGATTCCAGGGCCTGCTAAGTGCAGCAGCAACACAGATGGCATAGCCGAGTCAGAGTTCGAACTCAGGTCGGTTTATCAACAGTTACATGGGTGTACCATCTCAGCAATCACCTGATCCTTACTGCAGGCGATACCTGGATTACTCTCGCTGGCATGTTGTGATTCACACCAAGGCCTGTGCGGTTCCAACCGTTAATGGCATACTGCAAAGGTTCGAGCCGTCAATGCTCTCTCTGCGGTTCCAATCGTTGATGGCATACCGCAAAGGATGTCCCACGGGACATTCGTTAAAATTGGAACGATACAGAGACTGAAGATTAGCATGGCCCCTGCGCAAGGACGACACTCATAAATCGAGAAATGCTCCAATATATATATATATACTATATAGTCAAACAGAGCTGCCCGGTAAACCGTAGGCAGAGGGAGGGAGAAGAGGACAACAAACGAGGGGCTGTGGCAAACTGTTTCGTCGGGGTATATATATATATATATCGTCAATATATATATATCGTCAAATAGAACTGCCCGGTAAACCGTCGGCAGAGAGGGAGAAGAGGACAACAAACGAGGGGCTGTGACAAACTGTTTCGTCGGAGTTTCACCGACTCATCAGGAGGCTGAACCCTATATATA